CAGAATATATATTCTGTGCCTGACTTGTTTCACTTAATATAATTCTCTCAAGGTCCATCCATGTTGTTGCAAATGGCAGTATTTCATTCGTTTTTTTTTTTTAAAAAGATGACCGGTAAGGGGATCTTAACCCTTGGCTTGGTGTTGTCAGCACCACGCTCAGCCAGTGAGCGAACCAGCCATCCCTATATAGGATTCGAACCCGGGGCCTTGGTGTTATCAGCACCACACTCTTACCGAGTGAGCCACGGGCTGGCCCTATTTCATTCGTTTTTATAGCTGAGTAGTATTCCGTTGTGTAGATGTACCACATTTTCTGTATCCACTCATCTGATGATGGAGATTTGGGCTGATTCCAGCTCTTGGCTATTGTAAAGAGTGCTGCAATGAACATTGGGGAACAGGTATACCTTCGACTTGATGATTTCCATTCCTCTGGGTATATTCCCAGCAGTGGGATAGCTGGATCATATGGTAGATCTATCTGCAACTGTTTGAGGAACCTGCAATGGAGATTATTACGCTGTGTCAAAATATCAAAATTCATGAGAGGCAGGGCTTTCAGTTAAATATAGAGAGCTCTCTGTCACAGATATTTCAGAATTACTATAATTTATTGATCATAGTTTTAATGTGCTCTGCCTCCCGAAGTCATAATTCTTATGTTACAAAGTACTAGCTTCAGAAATCAGACAAGTTTAGGTTTTTAAAATAAGAGCAAGTAAAAATGCTCTGTTCAAGGTTCTGAATCAGTTTTTAAATATGCAAATTTAAAAGGGGCAAAGAAAACACTGTGTTCTGCCCATAAATGAGGTGAGTGGTATGAGCTGTTAAATTTGTGCAGCTACTTATGCAACAGAATATGTAAATTGGAAATAATAGGCTAGGGTGCCATTTTTCCCCAATATTCATAACTCTACTTTTTTCTTCTAACTTACGCTGTCATCCAGTTTTCCTTTTTGTATTAACTCTTACGTAGGGAAAATGAGTGTTCTGTAGACAAGACTCATGAGAGACACATTTCTCGAGGACAGAGCCTATGTTTTCTCCCTTGTTTATAAATCCATGGCGCACTAAGCACTACTTTATGCATGCCACATTCCTCAATAACTATTAGGAACTTGGTAAATGATACATGGGGGAGCTAATGTGTGCTGTATGGCTAACCTGGGGAAAAGACGGATTCTAATAGAACTTTGTTTTTCTTCTTAATTTGCAAATATGCTCTTTGCCAAGATTTCTTCTGGGTGAAAAAATTAGCCCTTCCAAACATTTATCTAAGATAACAGGCTGAAAATAACTGAGTATTTCTTACTCTTCTTTTTTCTGGCATGCAAATATTATTATTCCCTGTGGGAATGGCATCAGAATGTTACAGGTTGAATACTGGGTCCTGCATACATAAGTCAAGAGGGTACATGTTCTGTTTCTTAATGACTGGTGTAGGACCTTACAAATAGCATCTGCAGTCCCCTCTGCTCTATCTGGCCTAGGGGAACCCAGTCTTCATTAATGTCTCACTGTGTGCCAGGCACTGGAATGGACACTTTAATAAACATTATCTTTGGATTTCTCATGATAAAGTTGACACTTAGGTATAACTATTTCCCATTTCCAGTAGAGAAGCTAAAGCTTTGGGACTTTACAAATTTATCTCAGAATGTGGTTCATGAGAGACTGAGCTGGAAGTCAATTCTTCTCACTCTGGAGTTCATGCTCTTTCAAGTAGAACATGAGACATTCACCACTTTTAAACGATAGGTGGTTAATATTTTCCCATGAAGAATATTATAGTGATTAAATAGGGAAAAAAGAGACAAAAATGAAAACTACCAAAATGTTAATAGTTGCCATTATTGCTAGTACCTCCGTAATGAACAGGTGTTATGTAATTGTTTTTAAAAATAAATGATAGAAGAAATAATGATTAGTCTTCATGGCCCTATATTTTTAACCTGTTTTGAGTTAAACAGACCTATGTTGTTTTATTCTAGGAACTTAATGATCATTTGTTACTTGGCATATATGGGAAAATTCACTCCAGATTTCTAAATAACCAATTTTAAAGTGAAGTTTTGAATCCAATCATTCTGTAAATTGAGGACTGCCTGTTTATAGATCATTTCATGTTTGGAAAAGAGCTCTTGTTTTTTCCTCCATTTATTTCAACTAAAAGTCCATAAAACTGTAAACGGGTAGAGTAGAATAAAAATTGTTTAGTCATGTGTTTTTTGGGTTTAATTAACATAGATTTCTTTTTTCTGACACTAGGTGTTAACATGTATCACCACTTCTGTGATTTTATCAATCTGTATATTACTCAACACGTTAATAATTCATTCAGTACAGATGTGTACATCGTGATGTGGGACACTGTAAGTAAAAATGTGCTCTCTGCTTCAGCACTGTGTGGGATTCTGCTCTTGGGAATCAAAATTTTCTAAGACACATGCATTTAAGTATGCATACCTGTACATGCATACATCCATACATATGCAAATGAGTTGCAAATATGTCTGTATATATGTGCATTGAAGTGTATGTATACATATAAGCAGATACATGTGTATGTGTTGTACCATTGTTCTTTGAGCTTTAGAATGAGTTGTTGAAGATTTCTTTGTCCCTTTGGGTAGGTGGGTAGTTTTTCCCTTTGGGTACGTGTCTTTGGCTCAGTGTTTCTCTGAGACATATATATGGAGACTCACACTCACCTAGTCTCTACAAGCCACTTTGCAAGAGCTTGGCTCTGTTTTGAGTTTGTCCTCTTGTATTTACTGTCTGCCTTTGCTTAATATCACCTTCCCCATTACTACTTGCTTGTGTCAGTTTGTGCTGTGTGTTTCAGCTCACTATACAGGATGTCTTATGCATGGACATAAATCCATACTATGAATTGTACCTGCTATTTACTTATTTTTAGTGCAGTCTTTTTTTCTTCTTTTTCTTTGCCTATCTTTTTCCTGCTTCTTGCCATATCTGGCCCCCGCATCTGCCAAGATAACCCCAGGACGTGCCGCAGTATCCTCAACTGTCCAATGGGATAATTAGTGTACCCACCACAGTGTCATTTGGAGGATGAGCCATATAGTGTGCAAATAGCACAATGCCTGGCACACGGTACATGTTCTCTGATTGTTAACTCTGACAATGACAGTGTTAAGGAGAACAAGTGGTTTGTAGAGTACACAAGAGAGGTTGCCTCAGCTGGGAAGTTGGAACACCCAGCCAGGGATCCTCTAAGGTTCAGCTAAACATTGTGACTCATAAGGCACTTATATCCCTGTCTTGGTGTGAATCTAGCCAGGATGATATGTAGGCAACTGCAGCTTGCTGGCAGGGCAGCAACAGGCATTTCTTCCATGGGGAGTCCTAGCAGCTCACCCAGCACAGCTCACGTGCAAGGAGAAAAGATCCACCTGAGGCAGGTACAGGAACTGCGTTGGCCTGTGAGCCCCCCAGGGGCTAAAATCTCCTAGAACAACTGCATTGGCAAAGCCTCCAGGGTCCCCACAAGAGACGTGCCCAGTTCCAAGAGTCATGTACTCAGGGAAGCCTAAACAGGGCTTTCCCAGTACAGATGCAATTTATACATCAGGAGTCTTTTTAGATCAGAAGCAATGTTGCCTAGAAATATAGCTGATATGCCATCTTCATTTCTAGAGAGAGTGGAGCTAGCCGGATAACCGAGGGTCACATTCTCATGCAGAAAGGGAGGTAGTTTTTGCTGAGCCTTTTTTCATAGGTACGAGGCTTGCAGAGGAGCTGGGTGAAAAGGTTTCCTTTATCACTGCTCCCTAGACCTTTGGTTTGATTGGAAGTCTGATGAGAACTGGTTCTAGAATCCTTGGCATGTCAGTGCTTTCTTTTGGTTTCCTTCTTTGCCTGCATTTAATTCCCCTCTCGTGTTCCAGTTGTGCTGCCACCACAGTGTCATTTTTTGGAAATGTTTCTGTGAGCAAAGGAAAAACAGTCCCTTTCTTTTCTTCTTTCTGTATAAGTACTTCTAGAACACAATCACAGCTATCAGAAGCCCTGATAATTCACTCCGGTTTGTTTTGCCTTTTTTTTTTTCCCATTATACCTGATGTTATCTCATTTAATGCTCACAACCCCAGCTGGACAAGGGTTTTTATGAGCTTGTTTTACAGACAGGAAGCTGAGGCTTGAGCAACAGGTGAATGTTCTAAGATAACAAAGTCAGCAAGAGGTGGAGCCAGGAACTGACCCCAGACCTGTGCTTGGAAACTGCAGTGCTTTATCACCTTACAGTAGTCCTCTGAAGAACCTATTCAGTGGACAGAAAGTTTCCCAGACACTTTCCAGAAGCTTCCTTGTACCTTGTTGTGTGCTTTCCCACATCTTTCTCAAGTGGACAAAGTTAAACTGAGCCAGCTTCTACAACCCTCTGCTCCTCTGTGCCTGCTGGGTTGGAATAGGATGCATGGCCACCCTGAAGACCCCAGGTTACTCAGCTTACGGGCATGTGGTATTAGGGTGACCTCAGCTCTGGCATGGACAAGCAGGATGGATGTCGCCACCCTGGTGTTAACCTCTCTCCTTTGCTGTTCCCTGGGGATCCATCTTAAACCTGCATTCTTGGTCAAAGAGGCCTTTGCTAGTTACTCAGTCAGGTTCTCAGGGCAGGCAATTCTGCCAGGCTGCTCCAGACGTCAGGGCCACTGAAGATTTTAAGGGATAGTGCTACAGGGTTGTGTGGTTGCTTTTTCTGTTTTGTTGGTAAGGCCTCCAACTAAGCAACACTGTGACGTGCAGGGTGACTGTGATGCAAACCCCCCACAGTGGACAATGTTGTCACAGAGTCAGTTCTAAGGCCTCAGAATGAGCAGTTTGACCCGGGGAAGAGCAGGGAGGTGGCTGTGGCTGCAGTTCAGATCTTGGTGACATTTTATAAACCACCCCTACAAGAAAGCCTTTGGGGCCTTCCCTCTCCTTGCAAAGCTCAGCCACTTTCTTTAGGCATGTGGCATCATTGGTGGGAGGGGCAAGGTCACCACCTTCCTTTCTGGGCACAGCAGGGTTTGTCTCATTAAATATAGTGAATAAAGGAGGAGATTACTGCATGCTTTCCTCATTTTCTTGTGCTGAGAAGTAGTGTAGCTTTATTATTATTTTTTAATTATGAAAATAATACCTGTCTCATTAAATATAGTGAATAAAGGAGGAGATTACTGCATGCTTTCCTCATTTTCTTGTGCTAAGAAGTAGTGTAGCTTTATTATTATTTTTTAATTATGAAAATAATACCTGATTATAGTGAGTTCAAACAACACAAAAGTATGTAAAATTTGAAAAACCTTTCTCTTCTCCAATTCCATTTTACCCCAAGGGTATTTGCAGTTAATGTGTCTAAGTCGTTTGCAAGACTGTTTATTTTTAATAAATGTAAATATATCCTAAATTTATGTAAGGATTTGTATAAGGACATGTGTGTGTGTGTGTGTGTGTGTGTGTGTGTGTGTGTGTGTGTGTGTGTACAAAATTTGTGTAAGGATATGTTTATATCCTTATAGAAAATACACTCTCTTATACTGCTACCTTAGTATTATATCATGGACAGCTTTTCAACTCAGTACATTTACAGTTATCCCTTTTTCAGCAGTTACATGCTATTCTATTCAGTGGGTGTTTTGGAAATTCAGTGCATCAGCGCATGTATTTTTTACCCCCGCCCTAATCACATTTAGTTTTTTTCCAGTTCTTCGTTATTTACTAAAATGCTGCAGTAAACCTTCTTTCCATATACCTATATCTTTACACACTCACTCTAGCATTTCTGGAGGGTAGAGTCCTATGTGGAATTTCTATGTCCTAGGTTATGTGCATGTTTAACGATTCTTCACGATGACAAAAATTTCCTCCTGTGTATACAGATATTCTTCAACATGAGAGTAGGAGGAAGCCCCTCCTTCCCCCATCGCAGATAATTTGAATTTGGGGGATGTGGAAAGAAGCTTCTAGAGGTGGTTATTATTGAATAATGCATGATTTCCCTGAGAAGGGATCAGTCAGGACTACTATATTTTATTATTAAAATTTCCTTTCAAAGGTATCTTGTTTTATTGAAGTATTTTATCTCAATAAGCTGTCTAGCATCACTTCTTTTAATTACCCTTTATTTATTCTTGAGACAGAACAGGCACATTTTATTTTAGATGGTGTAGAGAAGGGCCTTTATTAGAAGGGCATTGGAGAAACATTGAAGGAAGGAATTTTTTTAATCACCACATATAACAGTTGAAATAACTTTGAGATAACTGTGATATGTGCACCATAAAATTTTCAAAGGTGAAATAAGAATGCTATAAAGATACAAAGACATGAACATAATGAAAATAATGTATAATCAACTGTAGACCTTGAATGTAATCCTATGATACATTTTTCTTATTTCTGTTGGCTGAATTTTTCTACCTAAGTTATACCATTTGAAAATTAATTGATCTCCTTCCTTTAGCTGAGGGAGCTCATAATTCACTTCTACTTTCAGAAAGGAAATTCATTTGGTAACTATATTTTGAAGAACCAGTTCTTGCTGAGTGGCAGATGTCATACGGCGTTTACAAGCGTGAAGTCTAGAACCACAGACTGGGTTTAATCCCAGCCCTGTAACTCACCAGCTCTACAATTTAGGCAAATAACTTAAATTTGTGTCTCATTTATCCTGTCTGAAAAGGAGGGATAATGATATTTATTCTCTAGTGCTTTAGATTTGTGGGATGTTTTAATGAGCTAATCATGTCAAGTGCTCAGGACAGTGCCTGGAACATAGGAAGTATGCAAGATGCTATTATTATTACTTTATATTGTTATTATTATAATATATTATTATTATTGCTCCCACACCTCGCTCAGCCAGTGAGCGGGAACCGGTCTGTATGCGGGATCCGAACCCTCGGCGGGAGCGCAGCCGCGCTTCCCAAGCGGCGCACTAGCGCAGTGCACCACTGGGCTGGCCCTGTGGGATGTTTTAATGAGCTAATCATGTCAAGTGCTCAGGACAGTGCCTGGAACATAGGAAGTATGCAAGATGCTATTATTATTACTTTATATTGTTATTATTATAATATATTATTATTATTAACATCAATGTCAATGGGGAATTTTCATATGTTATTCATTAGTTAACAGGGAGAACATTTCACAGAGTTACATACAGAGGTGATTTCTGACTTGTGATGGTTCGACTTATGATTTTTGACTATATAGTGGGTTTTTCAGGGTATTAGATGTATTTGCAACCTATGATATTTTCAATTTATGATGGATTTATCAGGGCATATCCCATTCGTAAATCAAGGAGCATCTGTATTTTTAATGTGAAAACTTTCAAGCCATTTTCTTGCTCTGAAGTTTCTTTCCAAAGCATATTCTGTTTGCCCTCATGGTTTTGGCTCACTGAGCACATCAGGATATCTACAGATGGTGGCATGTGCATGTGTTGTGTGTATCTGTAATTTGGAAAGAAAATTCACAGGAAAAAGACCATAACAACTACAGTTTCAAAGATGTGAGAATAAGAAGGGCTAGGGTGAAAACACAAAGCACAGTTAACAGGGTAAGAGGATAAATTGTGATGATGATTTCTGATGTTATTTCATCAAATTAGGCACTTGCTCAGGCCCAGGATGAAGACCCATTTTTCTTATATGGATTTTATGAGCTTGTTGAGGAGCATTCATTTTTACCACTCACAAGAGAATTCAGATATTTTGTTGCATCTTTGAAAAGCCATGTTGTGTCCTTGTACTGCCCTAACTTATTTTATTTCCACCCTTAGAGCTCTTACGGATATGGTGACCTATTCTCTGACACATGGAAAGCATTTACTGATTATGACATTATTCATCTGAAAACTTATGATTCCAAAAGGGTACTGGAAACTTTACTAAAACATCTGTAAATAACTGTCATGTGTAATCATAAAATATTTAATAAGAATTTCTGTTAGCTATTACCATTGATTTCTGATTTAGTTTCTTTTGTTGTAACTAGAATCCTCATTGTTATTAACCATGTAGCTTTTAAACACTTTTTTCTATAACTTTTCTAAAAAATATGAACTTTATTTTCTTTGAATGAAATAGTTTGATACTCAAACAAATTTAATGCAAAATGGAGATAAGTTAAACTTTATTTTCCAAAATTATAAGTGCTATTTTGGTGTAAATGGTGCAAACTATCTCTTATCTTTTAAAATATCTTCATTCTTAGGTATGTTTTAAAGAAGCTATTTTTTCATTACTCCCCCGCATGAGATATGGGCTCTTCTATAATACTCCTCTGGTAAGTATGTTTTCTACTGTTAACATTCATATTTATAGACTTTATTCTCGATAGATGTTAAGATAACATTTATAGATAACTTGAGAGCATCTTAAATTGCAATTCAGAAGTTTTCATTATAATACGAACTGGTGTTTTTATTTTAGATATCTGGCTGTCAAAATACTGGATTATTCAGGGCATTTTCCCAGCATGTACTACACAGACTAAACATCACCCAAGAGGGACCCAAGGTAAGTAATAGATATATTATGGGTTGTGAAGTGGGCTTGATTTTTAACCCTAATAGAAATCAATACCACCTTTGCAGAAAAGAAGTAATTAAAAGACCATGTTTTCTGTGTTAATATTTTCTGACCTGGAGTCATATGAAATCAGGTGTCAACAATCTACAAAAGATAAACTTTGCAGGAGTGTGCTTTTTTCTCCTTTTTCTTCACTCTTTCTTTGCCCATTTCTCCCTACTCTCTCCCAATATCCCATCTAGCCCACATGATCCCTGCCAAAAAGTCCACCCAAGCAACCAACCAAACAGCAGTATAATGAACTGGTTTCATCTTTTGTGGCTAAAGTGGAAACATTTTTATTCCCTGAGAGAACAGTGAAGGAATCAGGCTAAAAAATAATAGTTCTGTAAATGCATCCCTTCTGAGTTTCATCTCTTTGTGAAAATCACATTTTAGGTTCAGACGTTCGTTCATCTGTCCAGGCATAGACAGCATTGTTTTGCCTTTTCATTTTGATTACAGGATGGAAAAATTCGAGTCACCATTCTAGCACGGAGCACAGAATACCGGAAAATACTAAACCAAAATGAGGTTGGTTTTTGGTATGCATTGAATATCATCATATTGAACTTACCTTCTTATGACTAATGTAATTTATTTTTTCACATTGCATTAAGAGCTTTGATTTGAAACTATTAGTTTTTAGAAAAGTTTAATAGCCAATGCCCAGTTCATTTACTGGATTTGAATTTCTAGTGGAAGTCACCAAGCCCAAAGTAGCTTTGCCTTATTGTAAACATTCATCTATACCAAAGCAGAGTCGAAACAGAGACAAAGAAAGCCTGAGTCCTGCCTTTACTGCAGTAGACTACTCTACTGCAATAGATTGCTAAACATTTGCCCTCCACACAAACTAGCAGCAAGCATGCAAGAGCATCTCTGGGAGATGGTTGATGGTGTGTGGCAATCCTGTGGCATCTGATAGCAGATTAAGTTGCGGGTCTCCATCCTCTTTCACAACTGTGTGCCCTAGAAATGGTTCACATCTTAGACCTACCAACTCATAAATTATATTTAACCTCAATGAGGTCACCACACAAGGCCCCTACCTACAATATTATGGCCTGAAGATATCCTTGCAGCAGTAATATTTATTCCACAAAAGTGTATTGAGCATCTGCTATGTGCCAGGTCATGGCCTAGGCCCTGGAGATAGAATAAGGACAGGCAAGGTCCCTGCCCTCATGGAGCTTGCACTCTAGAGAGGAGAGACAGAAAAGAAATAAGTAAGGAAGTCAATAAGTAGGTGATTTCAGGTAGGGATAAGTGCTATGAAGGAAATAAATCAGGTGATGGGATAGGGACTGGGGATGCGGATGGAAGAGGGAAGGCAGTAAGGCAGGGTGTCTGAAGTGGTGCTGCTTGGACTGACACATAATTAGAGAAGAATCCAGCCAGGGAAAGAGCCTCCATGCAGAGGTAAATGTCCTCTTGTGGACTGAGCTTTATGTGTTACGGTAATGGAGAGAACACCAGTATGGCTGTAGCATCGCAAGAGAGGTGGGGTGATGTCAGAAGACCTCAGAGAAGTCGGGCATGGTGTGGGGAGGTCACAGATCATGTCAACCTCCTAGACTTTGGTGAGGAGATGGATTTTATTCTAGTATGAGGGGAAGCCACTGTGAAGTTTTAAGCAGTTTTTGGTAGGCAGAATAATGTCCCTTCCTCCCCTCAAAGGATGTCCATATACTAATCCCTGGAATCTGTGAACAGGTTAGGTTACATGGCAAAGGGAAATTAATTACAGATGGAATTAAGGTCGCTAATCGGCTGGCCTTAAAACCGGGAGAATACCCTGGATTATCCACGCGGGCTCAATGTAATCACAAGCTGTGAACAGGTTAGGTTACATGGCAAAGGGAAATTAATTACAGATGGAATTAAGGTCGCTAGTCGGCTGGCCTTAAAACCGGGAGAATACCCTGGATTATCCACGCGGGCTCAATGTAATCACAAATGGGCCTTGAAGTCCATCCACCAGACCTTTGCTTCTGCCTGCTTCTGCCTTCTTAGCTGGATTCTTCTCACCGATCAGATCTCAGTTCATCATTTCCTTAAAAGTGAGAGAGGGAGGCAGGAAAGAGAGTCAGAGAAGGAGCTGTGATGAAGGGAACAGGGCCAGAGAGATGCACTGTTGCTGACTTTGAGATGGAGGAAGGGGCCTTGAACCATAGAGGGCAGGTGGCTTGTGGGAGTCGGAGACGGCAAGGGAGTGGGTTCTCCCTCAGAGCCTGCAGGAGGAACGCGACCCTACCAACACCTTGCTGGGAGCCCCATGAGACCTGTGTGGGACTTCAATCCTACAGAACTCTAAGAGGATAAACTGTATTGTTTTAAGCTGCTACATTGGTGGTAACTTGTTACAGCAGCAAATAGAAAATGAATACATGGGGAGAGACATGAACTGACTTATTACTTATATTTAAATCACTGTGGCTACAAGAATAGGAGCAGGGAGATTGATGAGAGCTGTTACTGTGGCCCAGGGGTGAGAGTTTGGATAAAGGTGATGACAGTAGAGATGACAAAATAAATGGATTCAAAATACATTGTGGAGCTAGGACCTATGATACTTACTTTTGGAATGTACAGTATCATATTAGGTAGGGCCAGGAAAGGGATCAAGTATCAAGTGTAACACCTAGGTTTTTAGCTTGAGCAGTTAAGTGGAATTAAAATGGAAAAAACTTAATAAGAGGGAAGGGTTTTAATGGGTAGAATATTTTACGCAGATTAATTTGAATGTCTAACAGGCTGATCAAAATTATGTAGTTAGCATCTCTTCCCAAGACCCATATGGATTATGGAGGACATGAACATATGGTGTAATGAGGCACTGATTGTAAGCTATGTGTGTGGAAGAAATGAGCATTGTGTGTGTTTTTAAAGATCTAGAAATAGAAATGTATTAAGTAGTGCAATGTTGGGGTAGATAGATGGGAATCCTCAATAGCTGACAGATCAATAGTATATTTTGGTGTAGGTAACACACACTGAGTGCCAGTTATGTGCCAATCATAGTGCTGTGTGCCACCATGCATTCTGTGCCCCAAGTCTCCCAGCAAACCCAGGAGGTAGGTATTAATCATCCTCTGTTCTAGACAAGGGCTCTGAGGTTTACAGGTTCAAAAACATGCCTGTGGTCACCCAGTTAGGAGTAAAGAAATGGGGGTATGAGCCAAGGTAGTCTGAGTGTGAGACTGCTTTCTTACCCAGAGTGTGCTATTGCTCTAACAGCAATCACAGGAGACTGATCTACCTCTGTCCCCAGATCATCAGGCTGGGGCAGCCACTGGAAAGAAATCCAGTAGAAAGGCATAGTACCAGTATGTGCTCCGGAGCTGCCCTGAGTTTTCAGACACAGTCATATATGGATCGTCCAAATGATGTTGGCCAAAGGTGGGATTTGGTAATTCAGTTCCCAACTCCAAGCCAAAGAGCACCCAACTTGGCTGCTTTTCCCCTAAAGATTGGACATTCCTTGAAAAGGCAGCTACTGGGCAGGGGAGAAAGTGCCTTTAACTATACCTTGATTAGTGAATAGATAATAAAACCCAGATGCCCTAATTAAATGACGGTTTGTGGAATCCTGCCCAACTTCAGGGTTTGAACAGTCATGTTGAAAGAGATATGGCCACTTCTCTGGAGTGACTAGATATCATGTAAAACAGTGCACATGCCATGAGAGCACTCTGAGAGCACACAATCCCTTTTATGTAGGCACATCTCTTTAAAAGACCAAGGCTCATGCCATCTGATTAATTCTTTCCTGGAAGAGGAAATTCTAATCTTCTATCCTCACACTTTCAACTCTTTGATATAAGCAGTGTATTTATGGGAGTCCAGGAGCTGTCTAGAGAGAGACAGTTCTATTTTCTGGCTCTGTGTGTGGTCACTGCCTGTTGCTTTCTGTAAGCAGGAAAGTAGGATACACTGGTTAAGAAAACAGGTTTTGGGGGTCAGAAGACCTAGATTTAATTTTGGCTCTACATTTGCAAGCTGGGAGATCCTGGGAAAGTTATTTAACTTCCCTAAGCCTCTGTTGTCTCATTTATAAAGCAGGCATAATAATAATGCTTACTTGGTATGATTTTTATGAGGATTAAGTGAAGTAAACCTAAAACACTTAGAAATGCCAGCACAATTTAAGTGCACAATGAATGATGTTTGTTATCGTTGCTGTTGCTGTTGCAGTCCGGAGTGTGCTATAAGGCCACATGGTACAAGTGCAGACATTTCTGAATGGGTGATCCATGGTGTTGGGTTCAGATGGCCTGATTGTGAAGGACACAGAGAACCATGACTCTGTTTTGATAATAGATTAATCATGCTTTGTTACTTTCTGTTTGCAAGGAGAATAATAGTTTCTCTACAATA